AAATTGTAACTTAATGTAATAAATGTCTACCTGTCCATTGCTTTCTCCAGCCTGTTCCTCAGAAAGCTAAGACAAATACATATAAAGTACAAATTAGGCTTCTTAATTAAGTAGGATTGTTAAATTAATTAGCTAATCATCTTTCAATAATTACATAATGAATAAACTATATATACATATATACATGTATGTATGTATAAATGTATTCTTTGCTCACTACATTAAAAATTACATCTATTTTGAGTAGACCGTAAACAACTAAAAATGTATAGCCTATAAAGAAATATTCCTTCTACCTTTCTTTTGCCTGTTTCATTGAGGAAACCAAAGAGTCGGTCACTCAACTAAAAAGTACATGAAAACATATAAATGTAGATTGTGTATTAAGTACAACAGAATATATAAATAAACCAGTAGTGATCTCCCATAAACTTTCTCGAATATTCTCATATAACGTCTACAGGAGTTGGCAACTCGGGATATAGACATGATTTTTTACTCCATTTTTAATTACTTAACCTTTTTTAAAATATAATAGAATCTCGTAGAAAAAAGAACTGTGTACGAATTGAACGCCAAACAATATGTGTATTATAGTGCGGAATATTATTACTTTATAAATTCACATACGTTTATTTAGAGAAATCAGAAATAGCCTAAGTTACTACTTCCGGTCAACAGAAGCTACTCAAAATTTGATAGAAGGCAAAGAATTAGATCTTTTACTTATAAATGAAATTTAATTAATCTATCTGAAACAGTACCCAATTTATAGGCTTTTCGAAAAAAATTGAAAGACGAATAAGTTCCAGTTCCGTTTACCAGAAATCGCTGAAACGTTAATACAGAACTACAAATTTGATTTTTTTTTTGCACGATTACAATACTTCCTCTATACTTCGTATACGAGAAAGTAAAAACTGGGATGTTAAACTGGCACATGTTAAAAACATTTTACCCATTATATCACATTTTATATAGTTTACCAGTATTTTTTTTTAAATTGATACATGTATTCAATATTGATCAAGCTCAGTAAATAGTTTATAAAGATATCGCATTATTGTTTTAAATAAATCTATTTTAAATCGTTGTGGCCTGAGCACCAGCATCATTTGAGATGATGGGAAACAGACACTTCATGACGATCCATTAAAAAACTACTTGCAAAATTCAAGAATAAATGACAAACGTTTTATTTCAAGATCCTTCAAGTGCAGCCGTCGTCTGAAGCAACAACCACATTGGCAGTCTGCGGTGGTCAGTGGCTGAGGCTGTAAAGCATAGCAGGGGAGACTATCAGTTTAAGCAAAATACAAAGATTTCGGCCATTATTTCCCTTGCATTCTAAAAACAGCTAAAAAAATTTAATTCTACATTGGCATTTTTTTTAAATTGCCTTTATCTAAAATAATATAGGCCTACACCGTTTTTATACTAGAATATTTGGAAATAAAACTAGATGACGTCATCGTTTCCCATTCGTGTCCAAGTTACACTGGGGCAGATGAAGTAGAGTTTATCTGTTTCAATGACCTTGGTTTACGTGGAGATAGTGGTCAGTTTCCCTAATTGGATCAGGCACCCATCAGAGCTGGATGGACTCAGGGGCGTTTTACAGATTAGGTACCCATCAGAGATGAGTGGACTCAAGCCTTTATTCCTCTCTATTCTAAGATTTTAATAATGGTGTATTAACTATTTATAATCATTAATTAAACTGGCAAAAAGCATTTTTCTTCTAAAATATTTTGTAATTTTTCGCCATGGTGTCACCCCCCCCCCCCTCGCGACGCCTCTGGTATTAAGTACAACAGTGAGCATAAAAAACATGGCGTCGTGAGTGCACGTTCCCTTATAAAACTAAATGCAAAATTCAACACTAAATGAGGAACCTTGCCATTTTCCTTGTCCTTGTTCAGCAGTCGAACGGCGCAGCATACACATTGACATTCAGTGGTTTGGCCAAGTAACCCCTGATACAAAAGGAAGGAAAAAGTCTTGTAATTATACAAAATGAGGGAATGGAACAGGGTGGCCGGTGATACGTTTATAGAAGTGAAGTGTTTTACGGATTGTGAGTTATGTTAAATGCAGGTGTGTGGTTGTGTTCTTGACTTGTACAGCCGTCTGTTAAGAACATGTCTAACTGTGTGGTGTTTACCTAGGTGTGTTTGTGTTCGTCTAAATAATGTGTCTACACAACGCTACGTGTTATGACGTAGATGTACACACTAGCTCACTAATGATAAAGTAAGACATAGATTATAAAGGCACACGACTGTTTTAATGACATGCATCTCTACATTGTTATAGTATGAATGGACTATAAAGTGACACTAGTTTGATGACATGCATCTCTACATTGTTGTTGACATGGATGAATAAACTGGAATAAAATTGATAATTTCAGAATTCATAGTAAATAAATGTATTTACTTTGAGGGTTATTTTTTTTAAGTAGCGCGTATGTGTGGTATATCTTTAACAGTTATGCTAC